ACTGTTGCAGGTCACAGAATATGGTGTAACACCGGGTCCAATCGACCAAACCAGCTTCCTCTGACCTTGTTTCACAAACAAAAAGCAAAAAATATTAATTTCTAAACCTATAAAAAAAAACTATAAACATATTAATCTCTAAAACTAAACCTAATATAATGTGATAAGATGGTCTCTTTGGTACGCCCCCTCCTCCATTGCTGGCCCTCTTCCTTGTTGACAGTTTTGTCAAACTGGTTGAAAACAACAAAGTCCATGCTCAATAATCCAGGTATACAATCCAACATTTTTCAGTCTTGTCACCATCTTATCACAAGCAGAACTGGTTTGTTCTACTTTGGAGTAAGCTGCTAGGGGAAGAATCAGTGTGTTTCCTTGACTGATGAAGCCTTCTGGATCGAAGGCGAAACGTTTCAGCACAAAGAAAGAAACTGTCCAACTAATAGTTTAGTTTTTCCTGTGACTTATTTGCAGTATGATAAATGGTAGGAGCATAATATACTCTCCCAATGTTTTGTTGGTCTTTTTTTGTAAATAATGACCTTTTTTGCGGTTTTATTTATTTTTGTATCTTTAGATCCTATGATGTCATCAAGTACTCGAGTTCTACTTGAGTTTTATTATGTTAATGTCGAGTTTAAAAATTATGTAGTCGTTCAACCCCTAGTGACAGTTATATCAACAAAATGGCAAAGATCTGCATACTACTCGGTTCTTGTCCACTTCATGCCCTTTGTTCAGGCTGAGGTGACCAGAAAATAAAACTCACTTCAACCTCATCATAATGACGCCTTATAAAAACTTAATTTGATTAGTCGTGACTTGTTCCACTAAACAAACATCAGATAAGTGGATTAACATTAAGACTTTTTTAACTACATAAATACTGATTCTGTAAATTCTTTTTTACATCTTTAGTTTCCTGTCTCCTTCAGGAAAGCGTTTGTTTGAATTTATCTGGAACTTTTTACCCAATATGTAAGACTAATGGTGGCATTTTGACAAAACACCATAAAACAAACTGTAAAGTTTGATAACATCGCACAGTTGTTCACTTACCTTACTCTTAATAGATCACCGTTAACTATAATAATAATAATAATAATAATAAATAATTGGCTTCTTTCACCTGCAGCAACACTTTTAACTGTCATGCTGCCATCTCTTCTTCTTTTTAAACCAGACCCCCCCAATCTTAAATAATGATGACTGTTTTTTCCATGCGTCTTTAAATCATCTCAGCATTAACAGCATCACTGCTCAGTCTGGAGGGAAGAAGAAGACACCGCTGCCTTCGTATTTTTACGCTGAACAATGTCCTGACTGCCTCAACTTAAGTGGTTTTGTGGCGCAGAAGAAAAAGAAAATGCTGCCTGGTACAAATAAAATACACACCAGACCAGTAATGACAAATTATCTCCGTTTGGCTACACATGACAACAGATAAATTGATAAATCACAATGAGGCTAATCTGAAGAGGAGACATGAGGACACATTTAGTTCACCCTCGCTGGTTTAGAGACACACAACAGATCCTTTGTACAAACTGCAAACCTGCTTTATGACCACAGACCTTGTGAGATGTCAACAAAATGCTAAAATAATGCTTTGCTTTATCGCATGTCTGCGTGTGCGTGATGACTAAATAATACAAGCGCGCGTGTGTGTGTGTGAGAGCAAGTGAGTGACCGTCTTAAATTAGTTTTTTTGTTCGGGGTGGGCATCCTGAAAACATCTTTGACAAGGATGGAACATTCCTGGAACCGGAGGTTCAACAGGGGAAAGGAAGGGCAAAACTGCGACACACACACAAACACACACGCACTTAACATCCCGGTTCGAAAGCGTGTGAACCGGAAATGGACGCCTGTCCTGCCGGAGGCGGCGGACGGATTTGGAGCGTTCAGAGAGATCCGACCTGAAGACGTTCCCAGCCGTATTCCCAGCTCTGCTGCGGAAGTCTGCAGTCCATCTGCAGCATCCTGGTGACACCCCTTACCTTTTTCCACAGCAAAACATGTGCACGAGAGCGTGCATGTCATGGAAAGTGAGCACGCGCACACAGGAGCAGATAACCTTGGGTGAGCGGTGGTGTAGTGGAAGGAAGGGTCGCATGTAGCCAAAGTCAACACACACGCCTCTGATCTTGACAAACCAAGCCCCTCAGCTGGTTTCTCAACACACACACACACACACACAGTATGCACACACCATCTCCACCTCTATGTGACTGATCAAATCTAACAAAATAAAGTAGACGTTTGCTGCCTAGTTGACCCGTCTCCTGCTACTTTATGGTTAATGTGTCATGACGCCAGGTGACGTGGTGTCGGGGGTACTTGCATGGCTGTCGGGGGTCTGCAGGGGGCTGAGAACAGGGGACCCTGCCGGGCTGCAGAGCTCTGGGAAAGGGTTGGGGATGGCCGGCAGAGAAGCTGGACGCAGATGCTGCTCCTCCCTTAAGCACCTGCAGAGGGAGACAAACACATTCAGTTACAGCCTCAGAGTTTACGCTCAACTCTGACATTTGAGCAAAGACTGATCTGGTTTGAACTAAAACCGTAGCTGGAACAAACACCCGAGTCTTGGTTCGGCCAGAAATAAGTTTCTATAAAAACTTCACTGATTGTGAGAATGTAGACTGACAAATTAGATGGAAAAAGGTTAAACAGGTAAATTTGATTACAGGTGATTTTATTGTAATAAACGACAAACACATAAACACAAAAAGAAAAAACAACTATATTAGTCTGGTCATCGTGAAGATTTACTTCTAGGACATAACTAAAACATTGACTCTACACTTTGTTTAGACAAGTTTAACCTTTCCAAACGTGTGAAGGTAAGAAGTCTTTCCAGTCCGTCACTTCATCACCCAACACCACCCAAAGCATGGTGGTGGCAGCATCATGCTGTGGAAAGTTTACCGGAGGAGGCTTTGTTTCTGTCTCAGCAATTCAAGACTGGAGAGAAACTTAACTTTTAGCAAGACAATAACTGGTAAATACTGCTAAAGTGCTTTAACTGGAATTTTTTAAATTCTTATTAATGGTCCTGTCAAAGCTTTAACCTCGATCCAGATTAGAGTTTTCATTTTAAAAGAGATCAGGGCAAAAATCTAAAGAAAGACACTTCAATAACAAGGTGACTAAAAGTACCTGCCATATATAAGTTTTCTGTTTTTGTCATTTCTTATTCTACAATAAACAATATTTTTGACCAACAAAGTGGACAGTATCATTCAACAATCCAAGAAAAAAAGCCAATTAATTGACTAGTTTTATACAAACTGTGATTTTTACCGTAATTGCCGGTCTATAGTGCACACCCAAATATAAGCCGCACACACCAAATAAAAATAAATAAAATTGTACATCTATAAGCCGCAGGTGTTCACGTTGTAACATGAGTGGCAGCACACAGCTACTGAGAGATGTGCCACTCCTGTTGTAGATCAAGATTCAATCACCAGATGCCATTTTATAAACTTTATCTTAGGCCTGTCATGATAAATTTTGCTGGGCAATTAATTGTCTCAGAAATTATTGCGATAAACGATAATATAGTTTGAAATTCGACAATAATTAGTAATTATTGTCAAATTTAAGAAGAAATGTTTGTTCATTTTTGTGTGTAGTACCTTTTTTGACCACCGGATGGCAGTACAAGACTGTTTGAACCGAAGGATGGATGGTGAGGGAACACACAGCATGTCTCTAAGAAAAATGGGAGGGAGGCCCCTTGACATGACATGGGCTGTCTCTTCTTTTGATTATCAAAATGGCAGACACTCGGTGTGGTTTGAGCGCTTTAGCATAGCATTTTCCACACAAAGCTTTTAATAAAAAATTCAGTAAACAAGTTCTCAGCTTCTTTTTGCAGAGAAAAACAACTTTTTACACGAAGGCACAGGTTTCAACTGCAAATTTTGGAGCTTCAACAAGACGAACAGCTAACCAAAATGATTAATAATGAACAAATTTTACCCATAATCCCTCTCTGAGGTCATGTGACCAAATATTTTTTGGCAGCAGGAAGCTCGTTAGCCCGTAAAATTAAAAAAATTACATAAATTAGCCGCAGCATTGTATAAGTCGCGGGGTTCAATGCCTGTGGAAAAAAGTAGCGTCTTATACACTGGCAGTTACAGTAATTATCTTTATGTATTTTTGTGCAAGAAGAGCTAAATTCACATAAAACAAGAATGTGTGAAAGACTCACAGACTTGTAAAATTTCAGATCAAGGCTGGGAGGGGCAATCAAAGGAAACATCTCATTCATGATTTAAGTTTATAAAGAATGAACCATAATCCACCATCATATGACGTGCATATAAAAATAATGAATTATTTCCTCGTAACAAGAGTCTCCTGAGATTTTAGGCAAGTAATCACAGTCAAAACTGTTGAACTTTATTGTAATTTGTGGATCAATTCTTTTTGTGATTTTAATCTAAGTTTATTATTGAATTGTGTTTTAGGTAATGTCAGAATACCGAGACGATCCTGTGAGGGTTTTAAGATCTTAAACAGAAAGGCTGGGGTCGTATTACAAACACTTCTATGGTCTACATATAAATTCTAAGTTTTTAGACAAAAACTTTTCCTCTTTTTCCTCCTCAAACAGACTTACATCATCAAATTATTCTCTGTGGCTTTATCTAATGTGAGGGTGACTAAAGTGGTAAAAAAAAAAGGGAAGAGCTACAAACTAAACTTTTCAAATTCCTACAAGTTAAAATAAAAAAAACTAGAAAGTTCCTGGAGAAATTTTGACGGGGTCAGCCACTTTGCGGCCATTTTTTAAAGTTTAATTGACATGTTGGACATTGCTCTTGGCTACCACCACAATAAATTATCTCTAAAAATGGCTGACTTATAGTATTTTTTCTTTTTAGCTCAGGCGGCCAGAGTTTTGATTTGCAATCAGATTATTGGGGATTGTTCTCAGCTACCAATACACCAAATTTCAGCTAAATAGCTCAAAAACCTGAGTTACATTCATTAGAAATTAGCCTTGGCAGCCATCTTGCATTTTTAGATTTGAATTCAGAATGTGTTGTGCATCGCTGTCAGCTACCACCACACCAAATTTAAACTCAATATCTTTTAAAATAGCTGTTTTCATATTTTTTTCCCTTATATCCCAAGTGGCCATCTTGGAATTTTAATTTATATTAGGAATGTATAACAACTCATTCTCAGCTACAGTCATACCAAATTTCAGCTCAATATCTCAAAGAACGACTGAGTTATAATCAATTTTGTGTTTTCTGAAGTAGCTGTGGCAGCCATCTTGTACTAAAATGGCTCCAAAAGTTAATCAGTGTTTTATTCAGAGACCTCTCCACACCAGGTCATGTGACCTCACTGTGGTGGAGACTGTGACGAGTTCTGTCAGTGTTCTTCTATGAGAAAAATGGTGTCTAGGTTTGCAAATTACGTCATAATGGTAACTCGAAAACACCAATTAAAATAAGAGCACACATCCCGGTGCTGAGCTGGTGGTTTTGTTATAACATTTGTGGGGGGGGGACATTGCAGTACGAGCCACATTAAAGTTGAAGGAACCTCACCACCGGATGAAGAGCATCTCGGCGTGACCTCAGCAGAAGTAAGGAGTACTTTCAGGAGGATTAATCCGCACAAGGCAACCGGCCCAGACAACATCCCCGGAAACATGTTGAAGGAATGTGCTGATCAGCTCTGTGAGGTGATGGCAGACATCTTTAACACCTCACTTACCCTGGAGACAGTTCCCACCTGCCTGAAGACCGCCACCATCATCCCAGTCCCAAAAAGCTCTACAGTGACTGGTCTGAATGACTATCGGCCAGTGGCTCTCACCTCGATAGTCGCTAAATGCTTAAAAAAACTGGTCATGACTCACATCAAAACAACCATCAACATTAACAAGGACCCTCATCAGTATGCATACCGTGAGAACCGATCAACAGAGGATAACATCTCCTCTGTGGTCCACACTGCTTTCACCCATATGGAGCAGAAATACTCTTATGTCCGTATGCTCTTTGTGGACTTCACATCTGCCTTCAACACCATGATCCCCCAAACCCTGATGGAAAAACTATCCACACTAGGACTAAGCCCCTCCATTTGCAACTGGGTACTAGACTTCTTAACAAACAGACCACAGTTGGTGAGGATCCACAACTTCTCCTTCTCCACCATAACCCTCAGCACTGGCTCTCCTCAGGGATGTGTGTTGAGCCCCCTCCTGTTTACTCTGCTCACATATGATTATGCAGCTACTCATCCAGGCTGTCACATTGTAAAGTTTGCAGATGATACAGCGGTGGTGGGATGCATCACAAACAATGATGAGTCCAGCTACAGGCAAGAGGTGAAACACCTGGAGAGCTGGTGCAAAGAGAATAACCTTCACATCAATGGGTATGTTTACATGGACATAAGTAACCGGATCAAATGGCCGGTCGGAATAAAAGTGTGTCATGTAAACACTCCGTTCGGGTTATTTTTTGTGTATTCGGCGCGATCCGTTATAATTTCTGATCAGAACGAAACGGGTGGTTTACGCCGATCCGAAACCCGATCGGTGCGCATGTAAACGCTTGATCTGTTCGTTTTTATCTGATGGTGAAAAACTGACCTGACTGCGCATGTGCGACTTTGCCATTTCCGCCTGGTTAACGCTAATAATATTAGCATGTCAGGGAAGTAAAACTGGTCGGTGAGCGACAACATTTCTACTAGAAACTTTGAAAGAGCTCAAAATGATCTGTATCACCTGTAGCTCAGTCAGGGAGTGCAGTAACGTCTCCACCATCATTAAAACCTGTCGCGGGTCCATTTTGGGTGCTCAGGTTTGTTTACGTTCACCCGGAAGTAGAACTTCTTCTTCGGTGTTTTTTTTAAGGAGAGTTTACCACACTGCGCATGTCAGTACTGCTGTTCAGAACAAAGCCCGCTGCATGTAAACGCTCATCATGAACAGATTGTGCCCATGTAAACAACACATTTGAATTATTCAAACAGAACACATTTCAATCCGGTCAGAGAATTCTGCGCATGTAAACATAGCTAATGTGAAGAAGACAAAGGAGATGATTGTGGACTTCAGAAGGAACAAAAACACCTACACCCCCCTGAACATAAGAGGATCTGCGGTGGAAGTGGTCTCCAGCTACAAGTAATTGGGTGTGCACATGAATGACAACCTCAGCTGGAGCAACAACACCACCAGCCTGATCAAGAAAGCTCATCAGAGACTCTACTTCCTCAGACGGCTGAGACAAAGCTGGTCTGGGAAGCTCAGTCCTCACCTCCTTCTACAGGTGTGCAGTGGAGAGCATCCTGTGCTCCAGCATCAACGTGTGGCATGGAGGCTGCACAGCTGCAGAAAGAAAAGCTTTGCAGAGAGTGGTGAAGGCTGCACAGAAGTCTGCCGGAGTCAGTCTCCCCACCATCACAGACATCTACACTTCTAGATGCAGGAAGAGGGCCACCTGCATCATGAAAGACCCCACTCACCCAGCACACACACTTTTTGCCCCGCTCCCCTCAGGCAGGAGGTTGAGGAGCATCAAGTGTAGAACCACTAGACTGATGAACAGCTTCTACCCTGAGGCTGCGAGACTCATGTATATCTAACCAGAATAATCACATCATGTTGCTGCTGATCTGTTTCATGTTGATGTGTTCATACGTGCTCATCTGCTCACACAGACTCATGCTCATGTTCATGCTGATGTCCAACTTAATGTTTTTATGTTATTAGTGCTTAGTGTATTTTAGTTGATGTTTTTCTTAGTTCATATCTTAGATGTTATTACTGTTTTTATTATACATTTTATTGTTGGATGTAACTGGGAGCTGTGTACATAATTTCGCTCCACCACATGTACCACATGAGGTGCTAATGACAATAAAGAATCTCTGACTCTGACTCTGACTCCGACTCTGGAAGAGCAAAACCCTTTTCAGGTTTTGGCTGCCTTCAGGCAGTTCCTTTTAGGCATTGTCCATCTTTTCTGTGAGCACAGAGCTGTTTGTTGTCCTAACAGTGAATATAAAGCACTTAGAGGCACAGGTAAGCGTTTACCTGACAGCCTGGATGTGCATCGGCTGAGTGTGTTTCAGCTTGGAGGGGGAAGAAAGGGGCAGAGCTGGGTTGTGACGGCGATGAACCTGGCTTTGACCCAGGGAGGCAGGATGTCCATGATGGTGGCGTGGAGTGTGCACGTGGCCGTTGTTTAGGAGGAGCGCCGTGTCTTCCTGCGTAGACTGAATGCTCTCCACAGATGAGTTCATGTCATTCACCAGCTGCTCCAGGTCTACGTCATCATCTGCGGAAACACAAAGATGGTGGAGGAAAACAGATGGAAGAGAGAAGTGAGTGACAGTGAAACCCACAAAAAAAATCTATGTGAATTAAGAAAACATCTTATCACCATTAAACTGGTTGGCCCACTATGTGAGTGTGCTCCTTAAAAGACTTGAGTTTGTTGTGACTCCTTGGACTGATAAAGTCTCTTGGATGAGAGATGAAATGTTTCAACACAAAAAAACCGTCTTGAGGTCCTGACTCATCTTTGTAGGATTTATAACCTGGATTATTGAACATGAACTTTGATGCTATGTGAATTAGGTTACACAAAACAAACCTAACACCTAGCTTTAGGGAACAAGGAAACAAAGCCAAAGAAATGGGACTAAAGTTTGAAGCACAGTAACGTTCGTCTCGCAGGTTTTTGCACTTGACGTAAAAAAAAAGATTTCAAGTCTATTTATTTTACAGATTTATGCACATACCTGCAAACTCACAAGGGATGAAAAAGGTGACAAACCTCATGCTTGTAAAGTGTGAGAGAGAGTGTGTGTGGGGGGGGGGGGGGGGGGAAGGGGTCTGTTCCTTTCCACTATTCCTTCCCCCTACACTGATGTTCTCCCAATTTTACTTTCCAGAAAACTTGTGCTACTTGTGTTCTTTCTCCCCAACAATATTCTCTATACCACCATAAGATGGACTTTTCTAATCTTAGGACAAAATCTTGGGTGTATGTAGCAGCTACATTGTTCTAACATTGACATAGCGCTAAGCTAGCAGCACGCAATACAGACTTGGTCAGCTAAGACGCTACAGACGTAGCACTCCGTTTCTTTTACGCATGTTAACCCCCCTGGTCGTCAACTGCCGGCGCTAAGCTAGCGCTACATAAATCCAATCAATGGGAAATAATATCAACATCAACAACAACAACAACGTGTTGTCATTGTATGTTCCCATACAATGGTGGAATTAGTTCTCTGAATTTAACCCATCACATGGGCAGCGATGCAAGTGCCCAGGGCGAAATTAGGGATTATGTGTCTTCTAAAAAAGTTAAGTCTGGTCCTCTGGACATTCAAAAAACAAAACAAAACAAAACAAAATTAGGGATTAAGTGGCTCGATCAGAGACACCACGACATGTGGGAACGGCTGGGGATCAAACCTGGGACGTTTGGGTCCCAGATTGGCTGCCCTACCTCTACCCCATCGTCATCTTTTATGCCATCTACCACATCTCTGACACCACCACAACTCATCCCGAAAAAAAACCCTCTTTGAATCTAGAATAGATGATTTACATAGATGATAACATATTTGGTTTAAAATCAACAATTTTCACCTAAAAGTGACAAGTTTGCAAGGTACCGTATGTATGCAGACCTGAGGCGCAGAATGAACCAAGAGCACTAATGATGCCAATAACAATACTGCTCTATACTCCACAAGAAGTGAAGAAGTCTGCTCTCACTAACGTGGTTCTGAGACAGTCTTTCGGAACAGACATTTTATACTCCACAAGAAACTGCAGCACAGATCTCCTGAGAGGCCCTTTCCCTCAAGGTCTCCAGTCTTCCTGACATTTTGGCTTCCATAACCACACACAGACATTTTTATTAAACAAACTAAAACCATCCTTGTGATGAACTGGAGACCTGTCCAGGGTGTCCCCTGCCTCTCGCACAATGATGGCTGGACATAGACACCAGTGACCCCCGCGACCAAATAAGAAGAAGTGGGTAAAGATGCAATGGCCGAGATGGAGTAGAGGTAGGGCAGCCGACAGGGGACCAAAAAGTCCCAGGTTTGATCCCCAGCCATTCCCACATGTCATGGTGTCTCTGAGCAAGACACTCAATCCCTAATTGCTCCCCGGACACTTGCATAGCTGCCCACTGCTCCACCTGGGTGTCTCCCAGGTGCGATGGGTTAAATGCAGAGAACCCATTTCGCCATTGTATGGGAACATAAAATGATGACAACACATAGCACTTTACTGGATGGATGGATGGACGGACTAAAACCAATGAGTAACGTTTATGCGTTCATTTGGCATCAAGTTGTGGTGGGATTAACTATAATACCAAAAAAGATTAAAACAAGTTGCATGGAGGTACACCATTTTGAAAAGTTTTTTTTTATTTTAATCCAATCTGAGACTCTTTGTGGTTTAAGGGCACCCCTGAAGTCTGATGCCGCCTCATTTGTACCGTGTTCGGTTACCATCTTGTACCATGCTGAGTAAAGTGTAGCTCTGCACCTACCACATTCAGCCACATTTGGTTGAACTTTGGCTGTGGCACACTGATGTATATTCTGCCAGCAGACATAAAATGTCTACTTTTCTATACTTTATTACTGTGCCTATTCTACATTTAGCTGAAACAGATAACTGGATGCATTTCATACAGTCAAAAGCTGGTAGTAAAGAATCGCTGAAGAAAAGGTCAACCAATATTTACCACATTCTGTATTTTAATAGCACTTTTCAGCAGTAGTAGTTTAACGTTGTCACCTGTAAAAATGTCATTTTAGCACTAATCCACTGAGCAAAAGCTCAGCTTGAACAAGGCAGAAAGAGGACACAGCTTGTTGTGAAGTTCTACTGAATTAAATTAAATTCAGTTTATTTATATAGCGCTCATCCTCGTTGACTTTCACTTTGGTTAGAGTTTATGTGGCGTACACCCCCTGGCTGACAACTTTGGACAACTTCAAACTTGTCATTCAAAGGAAAGGTGTGGCTATTGCATTGATAGAGCCAGCAGTTGCCTGCTGACATGACGACCAACCCAAACAAACCAACCTGACCTCCAGAGTTTGTCCTGCAAGGTCATGGTTAGTGCTTGTTAGTGCTACTGCGAACCATTACTGGTGACAAGTGACTTTAACTGCTTCAGTTTTGTTTGTTTTTTTCAGCTGCTCTCTTCTTCAGGCGTCACCACAGCGAACTGACTCACACCAAGACTTGGCGATTGTTTTTTATGCCAGATGCCCTTCCTGACACAGACCACCGAGCTACCACAGCCCTCTGTGTGGAGCAGAGAACTACTATCTAGGACGCCCAGGGGAGCAGATGGTATGGGTTAAGAGCCTTGCTCAAGGGCCCAGAGTAGGGTAAATGAGGGTGGAGGCAGGTGTGGGTGTTTCACCTTTCCCACCCACTTGTTGATGTTGTCAGTCCAGGAGTTGAACAGACGGCCTTCCAATCACATACCCACCTTCTCTAACCTCTGCACCACCACTCTGTTTCATTATATTACTTTAATATTTCAGCAGCACTTTCATTTATTTTATTTTCTCCCCTTTATGAGTTTCTTGTTTTGGATTAAATTGTTAAGACTTATATTTCTTAAAACCACAGGTTCTTTCACACCAACCCATGTATGTCCTCACTTTTACTTTCTTAATCAGTTTATGGGAAAAGCAGTAAAGAAATATTTTAATAAAGCTAGCCACATTTAGTAAGGACTAAGCTTTTGAAATGGGTTTACAAATGCAGTGTTTGTGCACGTGCGTGTGTGTCTAAAGCCCTTTGGTCCTCTGTAAGACCCACCCAACACCACTCACAGCATTCCAAACATTCCTGTAGGAAGAAATTACAGCACTCTGGGAACGTTAGCCAGCCTGTTCATGGCACATGGTGGCCAGTGTGCTCAGGACACACACACCTTTCAAAAACAAAGATGAGACATAATGTGCACATGAACATGTGCATCGAATTATGCAACTTTTTTTTCCTTAAAGAATGCATTGGGCTGGATGTGTACACATGGTGTGAACGCGGAGAACAGAAAAGCTGCTGCTGTTCCAAACACAGTCGGGAGTTCATCGTCTTAGATCACAAAGAGGCACGCTCCACACTCCAGCACACACACACACACCCACACACACACACACACACACACACACAACTAAACACAAAAGGAACAGTGTGGGACAAAGGGTCAAGTGATGTTCATGTTCAGGAGTGGGACATGATGGGTGTGTGAGAGGGCTACAAGGAGGGGGCTTATACTCAGAAGAAAAAAAAACGAGCTCATCAGAACAACGATACGCGCTTCTTAAGTACAGCTTTAATATGGTTTATTTAGTAAAAAAAAAAAAATTATCACACAACTGCAGTGGTTAAAGTAAATGTTTAATATTTCATCCATCATCTTTACCCGCTTCTTCCTTTTTGGGTCGCAGGGGTCACTGGTGCCCATGTCCAGCTATCACTGTGTGAGAGGCGGGGGACACCCTGGACAGGTCTCCTCCAGTCCATCCATCATTTATTATTCATACAGTGGTGCTTGACAGTTTGTGAACTCTTTATAATTTTCTATATTTCTGCATAAACCTGATCTAAAACATCAGATTTTCACACAAGTCCTTAAAGTAGATAAAGAGACCCCAGTTAAACAAATGAGACAAAAACATTATACTTGGTCATTAATTTATTGAGGACAATGATCCAACATGACATATTTGTGATGGTAAAAGTATGTGAACCTCTAGGATTATCAGTTAATCTGAAGGTGAAATTAGTCAGGTGTTTTCAATCAGTGGATGATGATCAGGTGTGAGTGGACACCCTGTTTGATTTAAAGAACAGGATCTATCAAAGTCTGATCTTCACAACATGTTTGTGGAACAAAGGAGATTTCTGAGGAGGTCAGAAACAGAGTTGTTGATGCTCATCAGGCTGGAAAAGGTTACAAAACATCTGTAAAGAGTTTGGACTCCACCAATCCACAGTCACACAGACTGTGGACAAATGGAGGAAACTCAAAACCATTGTTACCCTCCCCAGGAGTGGTGGACCAACAAACATCACTCCAAGGTGTGGAACAGTCAGTGAGGTCACAAAGGACCGCAGGGTAACTTCTAACAACTGAAGGTCTCCCTCACATTGACTGATGTTGATGTTCATGAGTCCACCATCAGGAGAACTCTGAACAACAATGGTTCATGGCAGGTTGAAGGAGAAACCTCTGCTCTCCAACAAGAACATGGCTGCTCGTCTGCAGTTTGA